CCATTTCAGACAGCAAAAAGTTCTTGCAAAGATTTGGTCAATTTCCTTTTGATCTCATGCTACCTGCTACAAGTCATGGTGTTTGCAATATCCTTATTGAATGAAAGATCCTTTGCATACCATCTAAACTTGATGTTTTCACTTGCTCCTTCACAAGCCCAATGCATAAAGAGGATGATGCCAAATGGAACTGCTTCAGGCAGTGTGCCTGGCCTAATTTGATGTCCTTCCCCTTCATTGGCATCAGATATGTACATGTTACTAGTATCTCATGATGACCTTGTTGTAGTAAGTTCATTCCTTCTCTGGTTCAATTAGATACTGCTGAGCTTCCCTTGAATCTGGAGCAATTGGGAGCAGCAATTGATTGAAAGAAAAGAAAGCATCTCAATTTTTGCTCCTCTCTTTTGTCAGCCCATGCTGCTGTAGCTTGAAAATATCCAGTTTTCCCTTCCTCTCCTCTTGAAGCATGTTATCTGTAGTAAAATACTTCCTTGCAAATTGATTGTTAGGATCTTCAACAGAACCATCCCATCCAAGATAGTGGAGCTTCCATCCAGTTTCCTCATGGTCCCAGATAGATTCCCAGCTAAGACCAGCAGCTTAGTGTTTAGTAGTAGGAACTTACACAGGTTTGCACTCAGAGGGAAGAAAGTTTCCTTTGTACTTCACAGTTGCTGCTTTGAAGATGGGCCTGTAGTAATAGGGATGCCATCCACCAGCATTTTCAACATCTTGTTCCCAGTCTCGAGGTTCTCCTATCAACCTTGGGATCCCTTCTCCTTTCATAGCCTACATGGACCTTCTTGTAGAAGTGAAGACTGCTATCAACAAGAATTCCATTCTTAAAATAAGAGAACTTCAAATTGTGAGGCTCAACAGTGTTAGTACACCAGTTCCATGCTGTCTGTGACTGGGTGATGACATTGAACTTTTCTGCTTTGTTTGCCTCCTCATGACTCATTCCAGAAGCATCTGAATCATAACCTGACAGGCACTGGCTATCTTCAACAACTTCCTCCTCCTCACTTGAAGTATTATCCTCAAACAAAGTTTCCACTAAAACTCTTGGTTGTGCTGCTGCTGCTGCTGCTGCTGTTGTTGTTGTTGTTGTTGTTGTTGTTGTTGTTGTTGTTGTTGTTGTTGTTGCTTGTGTACTTGTTCTTGTTCTTGTTCTTGTTCTTGTTCTTGTTCTTGTTCTTGTTCTTGTTCTTGTTCTTGTTCTTGTTCTTGTGGCATCATTGTTGCTGATCACTACACAGCAAGTGTCACCATGACAAAAATATAGAAAAAAATAGTTTAATTTGACATTAATTTGTGATGGATGAGGGCTTGCTTGACAAATTTTACTCAGGAAAAAGAAAGCCAAAAATTGACAACTGTATTGTACATTTGGCTGCCAGAACTACTATGTAATAAATGAATTGTTGTCCATTGAAAAAATATGTTCAAGAGATTCAACAATTTTGTGATCAGATTCTGATCACAACTTTTTGTGATAAAAATCAATCACATCATCAAAAAGGAGGACTGAAGAATTCATTTTTTCACACAAAATCAGAGTGGACACGGTTCCCAAGAACAAGAAGGAATCAATTTCTAGCAAACAGTGAATGGTTATTTTCTGTTTTCCTGATCTTCATTGTTTTGGTTTGATTGACTTGCTAAAACAAATAGTTTCTGTGGTGTAAAAACTAAGTTAGTGCCAGTAAGGCAGAAAGTGCTACCCTGAAAAGAATGTAGAAGCTAATCAATGAAAGCACTGTGGCTATTTGTTGTTTCTGAAATAGGTATGGAATTCATTGATTTGTGGTGTATGTTGAGTATTGTTGGGGTGTCCTTACAAACAGACCACTACAAGAAGTTCTAACTCTTGAAGTACCACAACATAAGATATCCAATGATTCCTTGTGTGAGATCTTCCCTGTCACTTGTGAACAGTTCTTGTATTGGCAATATTAATTTGGAATAGTTCAATATGTTCCTTTGTGACTTGTTTGAGGTTGATGGGTAATTTTTGATTCATGCTCTTGTGGACATCAAAATTTAGAAGTTGCTGCAGTGTTTTTGAGTTGCCTTCATCAAGGACCATCTTTATCTATCAAACAAAGTATCAATCAATGTTGATACTTTCACAATCCTGGTACCCATTTTCAGTTTGACAGACTTGAATGTAGTACAACAAATGACTCTACTATGAGATTTGCTTTTGATTTCTCAACATCTATGTGTTGTCATTAATCATCACAGATCTACCAACATGCAATTTAAGGACTTGATCTACCATTAGGGAAGGTTTGGTTCCACCTGGAAGAGCAATGTCTGCATCTGATGTGACAGTTACTCCTCTACTGGTAAGCAGGATTTCTGAAAATCTGGCACATCTCCCCTGTATTTTTATTTTTTGTCAATTTGCAGTTTTAGGTTTAAGGCCTTCATTGCAATTTTGCTGGGATCTAGTAATCTGTTATTTATATTTTTTGAAAGTGCCATTTTGAGAAACTCAGATAATATACCATAATTTACTGCATACTTATCTGGATAACTTTAGTAAGTTGTTGCATTTGTCCCAAGGTTTTATAATACTTGAATTGATAATTTGAACATGCTCTTCTTTCAAGCCATTTGTTCTTAAATCATGAAGAATGCTCCCCCAGATTACATCATAGTTAAACCTGTCGTTTGTTGGGAAGATAGTACTGTTACGTCTTTTGCTGGGAGAAGGTTGCTTCTAGTAGTACTAGTTGCTGTGAGGGAAAGCACTCCTCAAAACTGACATCATAGTAGTACAGGTATTACTAAGGTAGTATGGTGGAATGATTTAATGTATTGGTATCTCTTTTGGAGCATGTACTACTACTACCAAACACCAGCATGTCTTGAATGAAGTTCTCCTGTGGTTGTTCACTACTATTCTTAGTTAGCAACGGTGCTGGAGGGAAGTACTACTAACAAGCAATAGGATTGATATTGGTAGTAGAAATAATAGTAGTATCATCTTGAATGCTTCTGAAGATTCTTTTTTCATTAACTCTAGTATACTATATTAGTATGAGAAAAAGGTTGATGACATTGGTTGGAAAAGCTTCTAGGGTCAGAGTGGAAACAGAGTGGCTTCAGTTGGACAAGTTATGGTGGGTGGTGAAGAAAAAAGTGCCTGACTCTCTTCTTTGCTCACCATGCTTGGTGTCAGGCCTGCTTATGGGAAATAGTGTGATCATTGAATAATTTTTGCTTTGCTCTAATAAGACAAGAGCAATATGAGCACAAAAAGATTTCAATCAAGGAGGCTCCAAATGCCAGGTAACTCAACTGGTATGAGAACAGTGGAGGATATGGATGCCTTCCTGGTGGGAACAGAGACACCACCCAGCAGCATGAGCCATGAAATTGATACTTTCATTCTTGTTTGATAACTGTAGCATTATTTGGGCAGATGTCATTCAAAAACTTTGTGACAAAGCATTCCTATCAAGGCAACAAGTTCCAAGCTACAACAACAATATTGAGAACCTTGGTGCTTGTCCACTTAATGATACTAAAATTGCTCCTACCTCTGATGTTACTAAAAAACATTACAGCAAGAAGCATGGTTTGTATTATACTACGATAGTTACTATCATTTTTCTCAGCATCATATTTTCCTCACTGCTGTTACTTATGTTAAGCCAAAACTATTAGTATGGCAAGCCACAACCTTTTGCAATTGTAAATGGATTACTGACAGCAGGTGATTGCCCAGAACATCTAAAAAATGAAATTACTACTACCACTACTGCTTGAATTGAATCTTGTTTCAAAGGTAAGAGGGGCAAATTTATCCTCATCAACTAGAGGAGGAGGCAGCACAAGGTGTGCCAAGAACATAGCTTCTGATGGGAAGAATAATGTTCCTAGTAGTAGTCACTCCAAGGGGCAGCACCTCCCTTCAAGGAGGATCAGTGGAGGCACAACCATTTAAGGGGGCAGGCTGGTTGGGTTGTTAGGTGAAAAATTGTGTCATAGTGGTTTGTTGTGTTTGTGCTGCAGTAGCAGAGGCCAAAGAAGTCTTTGGCAAAGTAGTCTGTTTGAGTCTTTTTGTCTTGTAGTATGCATCAAAGACAGTTGGTGATTACTGTGAGGCAAGGATGGAAAATACTGGGTAATAGGCAGGATGTGTGTTGGAGATAGGAGGCGCAAGTTGCAAGAATTGTGTTCTTGTACTATACTTGGAGGTACTACTAGTAGTATGACAACAAAGTATATATTCTTAGTAGTACTACAAGCCTGAGACAAAAAGGGTCCAGGGTCATTGGACAATAAATGAGCATGTGAGGGACAAGTCTGTGGCTACAGGGCAAACAGTTGTAGACTTTTGTTGTAGCAGTGCTTGTTGTTTCTGGGAAAGTTGGTGGTCATGAATATCTTTATTGTGTTGTTCCCAGAACATCTTTATTGTGTTGTTTCCAGCAGAACAACAGATTCCCACCAAGATCCAGGAGATTATTCATATTCGCTTTGACAGTGGTGATGTTGAACAAACAAGAAAGTTAGTATGGACTAGAAGCATTGCCTCTCCTTTACTGAAACATGCGTGATGATCAATCTGCTGCTGCTAGTACTACTAGTAGTAGACCACAGCAAATCAGCCAATGAACTCACCACCAATCATTCCTACTACTAGTACTACTACTAGTAGGAGTACAACAAGTAGTGGTAGTAGTACTACTACTACTAGCTCCTACTAGCTAGTACTAGTAGTATTTTAGAAGCAAGGACAAGAAGCAGGCCCAGTCGTTTTGTTTATTTGGTTCTCAATTCTTTTTATTTTTCCACCTTTGCACTCACTTAGTTATTGCACTGTAGTAAGTACTTGGGTTAGCCAACCAATTCTTCAAGCTCAGTGGCTCCTCACAAATGAAAATGGTACTAGTAGTACGTACTAGTCCAATGCACTGTAGCCAATTTTGGAAAACCTTAACTCTTGTCAGTTACACAAGTATCAAATTATAATATAATCGTAGGAGGAAGTAATAACTGCAGTATCGTACGAACCGTGCGGTTCATGTCGAAGAAACAAGAAACAGTTACAGGTTTGGATTGGACCTAATCATTCCATCTTCTTGACACCACGAATACCACTGTTGAACCATGCTCCACGGCCATCGCGGTTATTAGTTTTGAATTACAAACAACGAATTCATTGCAACTTCTTCTATCGAGCCAGTGTGAAGAGAACGCGTGGGTTCGGATGCGAGTGATCGTAATTGTGGCAACAAATTTAATACGTTATTGCAACAAGAAACCGCACAGAGCTTTTCACCTACCGTTTCGCATAATATTATAATCTGCACGTGTATCTTATTACACCATGGTCAACAAGACTAACAACAGTGCATCTCATGATGATATATTAGATTCCTTTCTCACGACGATTGAGAGCAAACTACGGGGTCCATTCTCGTCTCTCGATCTGGCCAAAGCTGTTTCGACAACGGCACTGCGTGGCTCGTCGCACATTGGTAGCAGTTCTGCAACTGATGATACCCAGGATCCTGCGCGAGAATATTTGAACAATCTATCATCGGTCTTTGGACGAACCAACAAGGTCATCCAATGCCGGATGCTGATCGGGCTGCTCGGTTTGAATGATATGCGAACCAACAAAAATGGAGCGGATGGTGAAAACGACAACAAAGGGGGAAGCCAGTATCTGACGCCCGAAATTCTTCGCATACTCCACGAGACACAAGAAGGGCCTCTCCATGAAGACTGGGTGCGGACAACATCCGGATTGATAGAGGGTGTCATGTTTCGAACGGACGACAGCGACCCTAATGGCAATACACGAGAATCGTGTCGCAGCGAAGAGGCATCAAAAATTATTCGAGAGACGGGGATGGAAGTGTGCGACAAGGTCGAGTGTCAGATTCAAGACGTTGGTCGGCCATATGAGTCTTCGAACAGTAAGCAAGATGTCAAAAAAGAAAAAGGAACAATAGACGAAGAAAAAGTGAAATCAAATAGTGGTTCTATTTCTGCAGCCAGTGCCAATAAACGAAACAGAGGATTTACCCTAGAAAAAGTTATACCATCATCGTCCCAGCCTGCCATCAAGAAGGAAGAAAAAATACAAATTTCTATCAAGGGAGAACAAGGGACTGAGCGAAGTACCAAGCCACCACCGCCTGATTTGAATGCCTGCTTCGCTCCCTACCGGTATTCCCTGATATCTACGCCTACTTTAAATACCATTATACCAGAATTCAATTTCTCGAAACCGAAAAACAACAACAGAAATGGCGTGAGTGATAGCAACTGTCACTTTCAGGTGAATCCCGCTGCCAGTATTCTCCAGATTGATTTGAAGTTGGAAGCCCAGCGAGCAAAGGAGCACGGAAGTGGTGTCCCAACAAAAGCCAAAAGTAGCAACAGCAACAAAGGAAATAGTCCGACAAAAACTGCCAATGGAGGAAATCCAACCTTCCCACCGGGATTCCGTCCGGCCAAACTTGTCCCAACCAAGAGGGCTGCTTCCAGCTCAGTTGGCGCCTCGAAACCTGGAGTTCGCAGTGGCAGCAGAAGTTTGTTTATGCCAAAGAAAAAAACATCTGCCAATTTGTTCAATACTACAACAAAATTCAGGCCGCAACCGATGAAAACGATGCTGCGGCGAAAAGGAGGCGGAGCCCAAGCCCTCGTGAAGAACGGAGCTACTGCAAGTGGTGGAGGTGCTATACTGAACAAACTCGGAGGCGGTGGGATTGCCCGTTCGGGCATGAGTGCTGCCGGCCGGACTGGTCGTTTCAGTGGCAACAGGGACGTGGCTCGTGCTGGTGGAAAAGTAAGCAGAATTAAGATGATTGATGACGATGACGTTGATGCCTTAACCAGGCCACAGCAATCCACTGCTTCGGCGGCTGAACAGCGAGCGTCGAAACGAAAGCGTATTTTGGAGGGTGGCGCATCCTCGTTTGCGAACCCAAGACTAAAAAAGCAAAGAGCCCGCCCCGGCATACGACGCATGGAGCCGGTGATGACAAAGAATATTCGGCACGCAGCTCCACAGCAGCAGCAGCAACAAATAACGGATGAATCGTGTCAGTCTCTCTTGCGCGATCGATCCAATAGAATGTCTGCGGAGGACAGGATTAGAGTCGAAAAGTTTTTCCAAACCAACAAAGCAGATCGTTCGTCCCTCTTGTCACCATCGGATGATGGGCCACAATACAAGATGAAAATACACGAGCAGCGCGGTCAAGATCCTGCTACAGGAGAGGAAATCAAGCAAACATTCTATCTTGAGCTGGATTATAATACGGGTGACTTTTTGGAATCGAAAAAGACGAAACGGTATTAACGATCGAGAGCGAAATTGTCGTGCTGGTAGTAATGTATTCATCCACAAACATAGCACAAGTCTGTATTGATAATAATTGAGTCCATAGTAATGGTATGATTCATTCTTCTGAATGAGTATTGGACTAGCAATAGTTCAAAGAATGGGTTTCATTTGAAATTTTCTGACTCACTTACTGGTAGATTATTTGAAGTTGTATTACCAGAGGTACAAATATCATGGAAACATTGAGCATTGATGTAGTCTCTAGCAAAGAAACAATTATTACTTTATTTCAGAATTTTTGCTAACTAGAGAAAAGTAACAACAAGGCCATTCTTGTTTATGTTTCGAACAAAATTAAGAGCAGAGATTGTTTGTCTATGGTCACTTTCTGTACTACCTAGCCTTTGAAAATTTATCCTTCATACTACGTAACTCTGCAATCATTGAATGCGAGCCACTAATCCGACTTATAATTGCCGATTGAATCCGTGGTGTCTGTCATATCGATGAGTACTCGTACGAGTACGCCTAATTCGAATTACCCATGAATTAATTAGATTTCTATGTTTTGTTCTTTCATCTAAGGCGTCACTCGAGGCGTCATCGAAAATCTCGATTCTATTAGGAAGTTTTCAATCGAATCTGCCGAGAAGACCGATTCACCAACTTTGACACTTTGGGAACAGATCTCTTGTTGCACTTACGATTCGGGGATGTAATGGCACCGCATCCAAAAAATCCTATGATTGAGAGAGAAGGAAACATGACATGATTGGATCTACCGTACGAATCGGTCAGTTAAAAAAAATACTGTATTCTGGGCTACGTCACTTACATCGTAGAGAAGGAATCAGATAGAGTTCGCAATGGTGATGTTTTCAAAATCTTCTACGTAGAACTCTTACACAGTCATCATGTACGTACTTTCTGTTTTTTCGAATTTTCATTTTGTCATTTGTTTGTTCTGGGCAGAAACCGGGAGTCGCAATCGGCGTTTGTCTCTGTACTGGTTGAGTCGTGAGAACCCGCCAGTGGAAGAAGAAAAATTTCCGAGTTCGTTTGCAGAATTCAAATGGTGTAGTGGCAGATTACGATCGATTAAACGAGCAGGCTTATTTATAATTTTTTCTTCCTTGAAGTAAAGGGTTTTCTCATTTCCAAATGCTGATCGAGATTCGGCAAAAGTAAAGTTCTTCAAGTAGATGTGTTGTGTTGCACCGGCCACATCGATTTCCCCAGAATGCAGCGCGGTACTTCTCCAAACCTTTTGGAACTATTCAATAGGGGGTGTTTTTGATTGGGGTTCCACAGCCCATTCAAGCGTGGTGTTTGTCGACAAAAATTTATCTGCCGTAGCAGCTAGGCGAATAATGACGCTTTTCGACAATTTGTGAAACAAAGTCTAAAAAAGAAAGAGACTTTTTCGAACTGCGGCTTGAACAATGGAAAAGTCACATTTTGTTTCAGTTTTTGTCCCAGGGACGAAGCAATTAGCGCATTAGCGAACGATCGAAGAATAAGCAAACATGTTATTACTGTAAAGCCAACGCTTCCTTCTCTCATAAAAATAACCTTGCGTTTCTCAAGACTCTCGCAATCATTTGAAAAGACAAAACTCTAACACAATGCACGCCATGATCATCCCCTCCGAAACGATGTTGCTAACATCGGCCACATCCAACGAAGCCAAGGTAACCATCATGACCGCCGATGATGAAACCGCGACTTGCAGCAGTTTCACTGAAAGCGACGACAGCACTACCTCGCATACTCTCAAAGAGGTGAAAGGGTCAATCTTGGGACCCTCCACTAGCGATACTGGATCGGAATCGGAATCAGTCCTGAGCAGAGCCAGTAGTTCAAGCAGCATTGATTCTCTGGACGAGAGTGAAAATGTCATCACCAAGAAACGAGTATCTTTTGATGCTGTCAACATTCGCAGCTATCAACAAACTATGGGAGACAACCCAGCTGTGAGCTACGGGCCGCCAATTCAACTCGATTGGGATTACGAAGAACACGATAGCATCGATATAGATTCCTACGAAGCCTGCAGAGGTCTTTCACGCAGGACTCTGCGCCAAATGGCCACTAGTTACTACCAACGGAAGACATTTTTGGAACGAGAGTACKGATTCACCGAGGAAGAGACCAGGCAAGCGAAGAAAGACGCGAACAAAATCAAGTTCCGCCGAGAGGTCACCAAGTCTCTACTCCCATACATGCATGTGGAAGATGCGATCGAGAGTGTCGGCAGGAAAGTCAAGCGAATGGTGTCGAAAAGATGAGATGACTTCGGTCATTCCCAATTTTGTTTCACGATTTTTCCCGAAGTGATCTCTGTAATATTATGAATATAAACTAGAACTTGTACACTCTTCCACAATGCCTTGGCAACAACTATCTTATGAAGTGAACCTATTATCTTTCGTCTTCTATCTGTAGTAGTAAAGGCCAAGGTCTGAAAGGTGCACACCCTGTCGAACCCCTGTAAGAAAGAACGAAATATGTTTTCATCAATTGTGTTTTGTGTTAAAGCAAACTATTACAGTCCTCTTGTCCGTAGAAGTCGGTGGGCAACGCCATCATCACCAGCAGGAATATCCTTTTCTCCTCCTTCGTCGTCACCATTATCCTCTTCTTCTTCGTTTTCTTCATCGTTTTCTTCCTTGTTTTCTGCATCGTTTTCTTCGTTGTTTTCTTCGTCGTTCTCTGCTTCATTATCATCACCGCTGCCACTTTCTTCCGCTTGATTAGCTTCTTCCTGGTTTTCTTCCTGGTTATCTTCTTCGTTTTCTTCTTCATTTTCATCACCACTACCACTTTCCTCCGTTTGATTAGCTTTATCATCATCGACACCATCCTCTCCTTGTTCATTTTCTTCATTGGCTTCTTCATCTTCAGCTTCAGCACCATTTTCTTCATTAGCTTCTTCTTCATCTTCACCAGTCTCTTCTTCTTGATCATCTTCTTCATCTCCAGAACCATCTTCTTCTTGCCCTTCTTTTTCATCGTTCCCGTTCTCATCGTCAGTATTTGCTTCTTTACTGTCATCATCGCCCCCGCCATCATCGTCTCCGCCACCATCGTCCCCGAAGCTAGGTTCTCCGTATTGTCCCTTTTGATGAAGCGCATTGTCGGCTTCGTTATAATTTATACAGCCATTCTGGACATCAAGCTCTTCGTCGTCGTCATAATCCCATAACGACTCCATACTCAGTGAGCGTTCTCCACCTTTGAAATCAACCGTGCCGGGACTAAAGACAATGCGGCATTGGGATTCATATGTCCATTGCCGAGGAATAGGTTCAAACCAACCCAATTCAGGCGACGGCGGTTCATTGCTTCCGCGCCTCTTGTGGACTACAATGCTTACCGATTCCACATTGTTTTCGGCATCGATAGTAACTCCGTCATATTCACGGTCTATTAAGCCGTTGCTATACCGTTCTGCCAAATTTACTGCAAAATGGAGGTAATAAGGAGTGTCTCTAGCACTGGCGCCTTCACGCAGTAGATAATACTCGTAAGTATCGTACCAGTAATCGATTTCTCTCCGCAGGTAGCTGGCGTCGGCCCACTCCTTTTCTTGATAAAGAACAGGTTCTTGCCCGTTGCTGAAACGAATGACAGCAGTCAGTCTTGCTTGCGCATGCGGGGGTTTCTTATCGAATAAAATGTATGGACCCGAAAAGAGCCCTGTCATCGCAGTGATCGTATAGAGACTTTCACTTACAAACTCAGGAGGATAAACGAATGTTTCCACCAGAGAGGTATAAGGAGCGGGCATCGCCAGTTCCATTTGATCAGACGGGAAGGTATTAAAGATCAATAAGTACAGGATAGATACAGCAAAAGTAGTTTCGGCCAACATTTTGCGTCTAAAAGCGTGAGATCCTGCTTTCGTGGCTTTGTACTTCAACCTGCTCTCCATGGCGGCGTCGGAATTGGATTTACCATCGTTTGGGTAAGCGAAGAAACATACCCAACCAAGGACTGACAGATACTCAAAAATATGCATCAACAAAGCCAACTCGATACCAATATGCAGGATCACAATGGCAGCAAAGGTGATTTTTCGGGTTTTGAGGGGCCAAATGGTCACGATGCAGAGCATCTCGATCGTGAGCGACAACCATGTTTGCAACTTGATGGGCAGCATTCGGTTGTACAAAAAATCAATGACGATATCCGGATAGAATCGCCCCATCCCTTCGTCGTACCAGCACCAGGAAAGGGCATCCCCTCGAATCCAGGGCGAGCTAATGAATTTTCCTAGTGCTGCTCCCATGTATACCAAGCAAGTGTACACCTGCCAAAACCGAAACGGCCACATCGGCCACGAGGTCGACAAGTTGAGCGTGTGTTGTCGATACCGGTGGATTTCTTCGGGATCGTTTGGGAGGTTCAGCCACAGCCGCACACGCGGGACAAGACCCCCGAATCCGTCCCGGATGGTAACATGATCGAGCGGTAAGAAGATCAAAAAGAAGGCCCACATTCGATTCATGTGAAATTCGTGGTCCCAGAGCACCGAGTTGTGGGCGAACATGTTTTGGAGAAAGAAAAAACACCCCACCGCCGCCCAGCGGGCATGAATTCCCAGCAGCAGCAGGACACCGCTGGACAAACCCAGCAAGAACATCGCATACACCACCAGGGAACTCTGCGGGAAAAGTCCAAAGACGCTGTAGACAGATTCTTCTACATTTTCCACCGTCATAGCATAGGGGAGCAGCCCTTTGTGGGGATCAAATAATGTGGGCATCTGGATTGTCATCAAACCAATGGAGTACACGTAGAGGGTCGCATAACAGACGCGGATGATCCCAGCCAGACGGCATCCCTGGGGACCGGTACGTGCGTGTAAAAAATCGTAGCAGGGACCCGAAACGAAGTTAGCGATGGCGATCGACACCTTGGAGGCCTGGTATTTTGATCCACCAGGAGAAGAATACCCTAGTCTCCTTGGTGATTTCGTCGGCAGAACCAGCGGTGAACTTTCTGGTGGGGGGTCCTGTCCACGCCGTTGCTTGGGCGAGGGTCTGCGCTGCATAATTAAACCGTCTTTACTGTGCGTTTGTGGATTGGATTTCCTGCTTCTCAAGTGGTGGCGCGCCAAACAAACTAAAGCGTCAAAGGAACAAATGTATCTCCAAGCTCTATCTTGTCCGGAAGACCTGCAATTTGGAAACTCTTTCGCTGCTGGGAGAAGGTGTCTGATAGCTCCTGGGAGCTTTCCTTATGGTTGAAGATGGAGTTCGAGGGTTTCAGACTGGTAATTTCTGTTACTGCTCCTAGAATCGAGAACACCCGGGTCTCTCTGTTTACGTTGTACCTACCGTAAACTCGTACGGATGAGGCGATGGTTTTTCATAAACGAAGCGGATTTTTGGTCATGAATTTTTTTACGTACAGGTACAAAGTTCCATTCCCTTTTCCTGAACCCAGCCACTGGATCGTGAATCCACTATCGCGATAATCTGTCGTCTGACAAAAATGGCGGACCGGAAATTGATGACCGTTGCCTATTCTGGGACTGAATACCTTAGGGTTCAACCTCAATCACGAGTAGATAACGAATGAAGCTGAACAATGACCTCACTCTTTGAATTCATACGCTACGTATAGTACCATCCTATGTACGTAAGATACGTAAGACATATGTAATAAGCACCTGAAGATTACAAGCAGTAAAGGTACGAACGTGCTTACCAGGGGTGCTCTTTTCGTACTGGCAATGACAAAATCTGGCGCGCTAGAAGTTTTTGGTTTCAATTCCGGAGAAAAAAATGAGCAACGTGAAAGTACGAAGGACAGTACTTCGTACTGAACTACTTCGTTTCATTCGTCCACTTCGTTGAGAGAGATAACCTCTCGAAATTCCGTCCCCCCGAAGTTGGAACAAGCAACCAACGAAGGCCGCCGCATAGAACTAACGTTTCTCGAGCAATAAATTATCCTCTCCTGGACAACGCGAGGCGTGCACAAACGATCGGGCCCAAAAGAGAGAAATGACGACCAATGATCTACATCGTCCGAGCAAACGACCCTTGCTATCGACGGGCACGTCCAACAAATTCAGCAGTCGTTTCAGCGGGGCCGACAAAAAGAGAGCCATCAACGCTCGCCGGCCACAACCAGCAAGCGTTGCTAGATTGGAATCTCTTATCAATGGGGCAATTAAGAAGAAGAGAAGGCAAGGCAACAACCGCGAACGAATGACAACGGGTGCCGTGAACAAAGGGATGCAAACATCGAAGCCAATACGAAGGTGCAGCAACGACGGCAGGGACAGGGGAAGTATGGAATGTAGCAAGACAAAGCCAAATTCTAGTCACGGTAGCTGTTCCATTGGCAGTCAACGGCAGTTCAAGGAGAATACTCGAAACGTCTCCAGTGGCAACGATGGAGCTCGTTGGTCACATGTTGGTTCCAACAATATAAATACGCTTGGAGCATCTAAACGTCGAATGGTCAAAAATCCTTTTATAGAAGCGAAAAAACGAAAGCAGACCGCAGCAAATGCCATCGACAAAAATGCTGCCCCTGACCAAAGCTCAAACACTGTTCTGTCCGAAGCGAGGGGTTCTCGGAAGAAAGCAAAAAGAATTAGAAAAGAAACAAACACTGTCCATACCGAAAAAAACTATAATAGGGGTAGCGCCCTTTCGAAAGTGATATCATCGGAACCAACGAACCCGCTGTACACATCCTCTTGGCAGAGCAGCCGCGACAAGGTTCCCCAACGTTGGATAGGAAACGCCACTCATTCCACAACGATCGATGTACTTGCCCAAGGCAGAAACCAACGAGGCCAAACTTCACAGCCTCCCCCCACAACAAAGGACGAAATGAATCGGATGCCCCCCGAAGCACTGTCGTCGCCATCGTCAAAATCCCAAGAAGTAAGTGCGTCATTGGCTCATACTGTGGCGGCAGACCGCGAAACAAGAAGAGCGATTGGGTCGGAGGCAGCATCCACGTCAGCAATTTCTTCTGATGCTTCTTCTCGTCCAAAACTGGGCCTCAGTCTATCCAAAAAAATCACGAAGGGAAAGCGTTCCTCTATTTCGTCATCGACACCTACATCCTTTCGTACTACAACAGCGGAAATAAGCCTTGCTGTTTGTGCTACTGCGAATGGCCATTCCTTGTTGTCGAGAACACAAGGAGAAAATGAAAAAGCCGACGTGTCGCAGGGCGAAGACCAAAGGGTGTTGCCTTCTCCAGAAAAAGTGCACCGCACAAATTTGCTATCGGCTGACACAACGGAAAATAATGCAACTCGACTGGGGAACATTTCAAGCGACGCAGGCAGAAATCCAAAGAAGAAAGCGTCCTTCAGGAAGAACATTAACGACAATTTTGTACGGCTCAATATGAAGAATAATGCTGGTGCTTGTAGGGGAGCCAGGAAGAAGAGCACCAAATTCAGCAAAGAACGACGAACGTGGTGCTTTCAACCACCAAGTGGTGGCCGACAAGATCCGTATGATAGCAATACAGTGGCTAATGATGGTGTCACAGCCCCTATTTTGGCTTTCGATTCGACCTTGCCGCCACTATCATTATCTCCAAAAAAAATCGACGAAGAAACCAAGGACTCGAAAGAGGAAAAAAACGTTGGTACGAGGGTCAATCCGAGCAGCAAGAGCAACGCAACTTCCTACGTTTCGAGAATGTCCGGGTTGGATCCGTTGGACGAATTTGTAGATGGGACGTTTCACGCTAGCAAAAGAAAAACGCTCAAGGATAAATCCAATACAACGCTAGGACCCGCGACGGGCAGTACTGTGAATGGCACCACATGTGTTGTTGCTGGAATTGTGGAACCCGCCGTGGCTCCGAAGTGCGCTCGGCACCAACGTCCTTGTAAGCTCATCAAGGTCAGAAAGAATACCTCTGGAAACAAGGGCAGGGAATTCTACGCCTGTTCTATGCCCCGTGGAGAGCAGTGCGACCATTTCCAGTGGGCCGACGACACGGTCGAGGCGGCACGAGCCACTCTTGCGAAAAACTCTTCGTATTCAAGTTTCGTTACCCGACAGGTTGTGGCGCACGTCGATCGGTTTCGCACGCTCACTGTTCCCGAACTCAAGCGAGAAACTTCCCGCCGAGGCTTGAACAAGAATGGGAAGAAGCAGCAGTTGTTGACGAGGCTCGCGATATGGACAAGAGACGAAATCGTCAAGTGTTCACCGGAATTTGAAGAAGAAGAAGAAATAGAGGCGGCGAAGAGAGATGTTGAGGCTAGCGATGGATCGGTGAAGAGTATTTTTGATTCAAGTCCGTCTGAAGAACTAGACAACGGAGAATTTAGTGATGATGATGACTCGTCTGCAGACGAACTTGAACTCTTCGATGGCAAAAACAAACTCAAGGAATCAAATTATACCGATGATGATAGTGAAGAGGACTTGAGTGTTGAATCGAACGATGAGTCCCCCAACACGACTCTGGCTGCAGCGAAGGACATTCAGGGAGACGACGAAGGCTTTTTGTCTGCATCTCTTCGAGAAATTTTTGGGCATGATTCATTTCGAACAGGTCAGGAATGGGCGATTCAGAGATGTTTAGAAGAGAAAAGGAGCCTGCTTGTCGCTCCTACGGGGTTTGGAAAAAGTCTTTGTTACGCATTGCCTGCCGCATTATTGGACGGAGTTTGTATTGTTGTTTCCCCATTGATCTCACTTATCCAGGATCAACTCCGATCTCTTCCTCCAAGGATTCCGGCTGCAACTCTTTCGGGATCAGTTTCAGCTGCGAAGACGGCAGCGATTCTAGATGATATCGTGCGGAAACGCCTGAAAGTACTATTTGTCTCCCCGGAACGCCTAATAAGCCCAGCGTTCCGTCGTCTTTTTAATTTCAGATGGAATCCAGATACAAAAACAAAAGAGAGAAAGTTTCCCGAGATATCTCTCCTTTGTATCGACGAAGCTCACTGTGTCAGTCAATGGGCACATAATTTCCGTCCTTGCTTTCTTCGCTTCAAAGGGTTCCTCAAGGTAATGAAACCAAAAAGCGTATTGGCTATCACAGCTACAGCGGGCCCAAGAGTTATTAAGGATATTGGAGAAACTTTGGGAGTGGACATATCGGAGACACTCACCGAAGATTCCTCTGAAAGTCCACCAGATTCCGAGTGTGAGAGCATCAAAATTGTTCGCAAAGGGCGTGATAATATTGATGTCATGACTAAATTCATGAGCAACGAGGAGGAGCGGCTTGCGGCTGTAGCAGGGATATTGACACCTAGTGCTGGCAAATATGAGAGTCAAAAGGAATCTTATGCTGGAAAGTTGGCGACAGGCTCTGTGATTGTCTATGTTTGGCGACAAAGGGATACGGAAGTTGTGGCTGAAAGTCTTGTTGCTGCTGGTGTTTCTGGGGGAGTTGTTATGTATCACGGGGGGATGGATGCTAACGCGAGAGCCAAGTCGCAGAGTAAATTTATGAGAGGCAAAGCGCGGGTGTGTGTAGCTACAGTCGCGTTTGGACTTGGAATCGACAAAGCAGATATTGTAGGGGTAAGTACGTGCTATTGAGGAACTCGGCCAGACTCCTATTCATGATGTAGGATGTCGCATGAATCTTACTAAGAATCACATCTCTTTTGCTCTACAGATTGTTCATCTTTACGTATCAAATTCACCTGAGCACTACCTTCAGGAAATCGGGAGAGCTGGACGAGACGGCAGATCAGCGATAGCGATCGCTTTGCCTCTTTTGGAGGAAGTTCCAATACGACACGCTCTTGTGTTTTCGAATCTGGTGGCTAAGAGTCAGATTCGCTCACTTCTACGGATCATTAAGAGAATGTTGGAGTCTGTTGTAATCGTCACTGGCATTGAAAACCCAACTTTAGCCAGAACATTTCACATTGCCCTCCCTGTTCAATCAACCGTGCGGGCATGTGATTGTAAGCCAGAAACAATCGAGACGTTTCTCTCGTTGATAGAACGTATCGGCGGAGACAACCCACTCTTGCAAATCGAAGGGTATAACTATGACAATGCCACCATTGCTCTTAAGAAAAGAACCCTAAAGAAATTAGCAGAGAAAGAGCCAGTTGCGGATTCAATCCAAGCTGTGAGTCAGTGCATTGACGCTCCGCTGTTGGAGGCTGGAGTTGAAGGTGACAAAGATGGAAATCCTGCTATTCCGAAGTCGTTCCAACGACAATTCCTTGCTTATAGCAAAGGGTCGTACTCATTTTCAATATCGCATTGTGCAAATCGACTTGGCCCAACTGCTGAACCCCGTCATGTCTTTGCTGCGCTTCGACGCTTACAAGCCTTCAACGAGCTTGAATTTGTCCTTGATACCTCTGAAATGGGACGTGTATTCCATTTGAAAATCTCAGAGGAAGGATTTAAAATGTTTAACAGGGATGACTACGGGAACATGGAAGAAGATTTGGTTGAAACTATTTATGAGTCGTTCTCATGTTCGGCGAATTCCAGCGCCTCAAAAGTGCTTGATATGCACTATATTCTGGACCAGGTGGCGCTTTCATCCGCATCTTGTATCGATGAAAACGAGGATTGGTCCGCTCGAAATAAGTCACCGAGCCTAGTCCGATTCCAAGAAATGACGAAAACCTATTTCGGAGAAGGCCTTGAAGCAGAACGCACCGCCGTGAAAGATCTACTACCAGCATCCTTCTCGAAAATTAGGGAAAAGGAACTGGAAATCGATGCTTTGTCGCTGCTGAGAAATTTGCCTCAGCTCTTTCAACAACAACAAAGCAACATAATGCCGGAATATTTAGAGCTTGGACAACCATCGGTAACCGACTACACCGCACTTGCTATCACCAAATTTTTGTACGGAATGGATACTCCTCGAACCCCAATTTTCACGTTCCGGCAGTACCCTTTGTTCGGTAAATGGAAGGGCGCTAACTTCGGCCTGGTACACCGTGCGATCGTGGGGCTCTTTGAAGCAAATCTAGCTCGGAAATCTATAACTTATTAGAGGTACATTGTTTCTCATTGATAAGGTATCACAAGTACTCGCTATCTATCGGAAAAGCTATGCAAGTATTAGATTGTAAGATTGTATTTTATTTGTACAGCTTCGAGCAATTACAAGTTCTCATTCGAAGCACTGACTCTTAGTTGTGATTTGAAACCTATTTCTTCGTTCCATTTGGAATCACATTCCTGTTTTCAAATTGCACTACACTCGAACTTTGTGCACGCGGCAAAAAAGCTCGTGGTTTCGTGTCACCATTGCCGTCTTCGTCTTCGTCCTTGTCTTTGTCGACAACCAAGCTATTCGTGCTATGGAACAACCGTGCTAGAACGACTTTCCGTCTATTCCGTGCAACACCGTTTGAAGAGGTCGTGGAACGCGCTTCGGCGTCGTTGGAAGACGTCGCCGATAGAGCGGGTGCAATTCTGTTTTCCGCCACCCTCCGCTCGAAGTTACTTGCGTCGGAAGCTTCTATGAAGGCGGCTCTTCGGATCTGAATGCATCGACATGGTCCATCACTGACAAAAGCAGAATAATCCGGGATCCAATCGCTATCTATGAGGGCACCGGAGCCTAAGACCGTCCATGAAGAAAGATCCGATCGGAAGTTCTCGGATCCAACAAATATGGTGATTCTCCCAGACAGAATAAGAGTGAATGTATCACTCGGAACACTTTTTTCATACAAAAGCTCGTTGGGAAGCTCCTTATCCAAGTCGTGTGTAGCCGTCGGAAAGGTAGTAACAGGCGTGCCGGAAACAAGACTCGTCAACTGCGACTCTGAAAGCGAGTTGAAGACCTTGGCATGATTTGTTTTGAGATGTGCTGTTACGGCGCTGATTTCACTCGCCGATAGCATTTCGTCCACAATCTTTGTATCTAGCAGTCTCAGTCGTGCCCACTCGAATGCATCTCCGCGCTCTACCTTGATGCGTTGGTCGCTGTCTGCATAGGCATCGGTCTCGTCTACGATGGAGTCCCCGATGATGCGTTCGACAATGTCTGGATGAAAAACGACGCATAATTAATACGTGAGGAACAGGTTGAAAATAATAAGAAAAAGATAATAGTCGTTTGCTTTATTAGATACTTCTCTACACGTACCTTCGAGTGTAATTATCCCTTTCACTTCGTAAACAGGATCCAGTGATTCATTTTCGTTGTTCACGTCTCGAACGACCGCTGTGGATAACAACAGCGGACAGCAGCAGGTTGGTCAGACGAKGGAGAAAGAATCAAGAACGCATTGAATGCCTATGGTTGCAGACAGCAAGACATACCTAGATGTGATTTTCCTTTTTTCAATTCCGCCAATACGTCTCCTAGAGTATCATCTGGCCACACATTGTGTACGTTTCGTCCAAAAATTTGAATGAACGACCGAACCGAAACGTCGTCCTCGGGATCCAAAAAAATAAGATCCTTCACGAATAGCAGCCCGATTACATTGTTTCTCACAATCTCATAGACCGGTATCCGGGAATATCCTGTCTTGAAAATCTTCCCTATCGTTTCAAAGCTTAGTTTCTCGTCAACTTCTAGCATGAATGTTTGCTCCATAGCTGTCATGGCATCACTGACGTGAATATTCTTGTACTGCACGTATATCATAACAAAGTAAAATATAACAGCAACCGTTAGTCTCACCGACACCTGTAAAACTGTTGTCCAAAAAACACTCCACTCCACTATAGTTTCAAGAAGAAACCGCTCCAAGCACTTACTGTGAGGGCACCCTGCATTGCTTTGGCCTCCTCTTGATCGATGATGTTTTCCTTCACGTGGACGTTCAAAAGCTCTATCATCTCCGCGCCGCTATACGTCGTTGCAAGTTCTCTCCCGAGCGTCCAATCCAAAATTTTTGCCAGCGGATAGGCCAAAACAAACAGCAAGGCGCGGATCACCTTGACCACCGGGACGGCAAAGCTTCCGATTCGCAGAGCGTAGCGAGAGCACTAATCGGAACGTCCGGAGAGGAAAGAAGTTGGCGAGGTTGAAACAGAAGCAAAAGACGTTGAGCAAGGGATTGCGCTTCTGTGTATTTGATGAAACGATAGTCATTCAGTGATGATGCACTTACGAATGCTTGCGGAATAATCTCGCCAAAGATCAGGATCAGAAAGGTCGATGTGACGAACCCAATCGTCCCGTTAAAAATTTCCGCCGAAAAGATGGACATCAGCGAGTTTACCGCGGTGTTGCCGAGGAGGAGCGTGCACAGCAACAGGTTCCCCCGTTTCCGGAGGGGATAGATCTTTTCCGCATACTTGGCGGCAGCGGGATCGTCCCCCGCCATGACAATCTCCAGCCCTGTAATGTCGAGGGACATCAAGCCGAGCGTAAGGCCGCTAAAGAGCGCCGAGAAACTGAGCAGGATCATGAGAAGAAGAACCTGCAGCCACAATGGGACGGATGCCAGCGTGCTTTTCTGTTCTGTCCTTTCGACACAAATGGTTTCTTCAAAGATTTCCCGGCAGTAGTCTATGTCGCAAAGAGTTTCCCCCATACCCGTGAGAGTATCGTTGTTGTTGTTGTTGTTGTTGTGGATTTCGCTTCTGTCTCCGACAGTCGATTGCTGCAACTTTCTCGACGCCGGAAGTGCTGGGAAATCGGGAATGGGTGCAAACGCTGCATTGTATCGACGCAGTCGGGGCGCTGTTCCGGTATCACCGAAGACATCGGAAGCGAGCCCATTGGATAAAGGAGACGTTCGCGCGTAAAGAAGCATTGCAAGCGTCGAAACCAGGGTTATCGTTGCTAGCAAGTGAGACGCCGTGCTTGATCGTCGTTGCTTTCCGGTCTTCGTCATTGCCCCTGTTGCCCCTTGTGGGCAGCGGCGATCGAGAGAGATTACCTCGGAAAAAGCGCCATTTTTGTAGGCTTGGTGTGAGGGGGGTTCTGCCATTCGAAGTACGATTGCAATTGGTTGTTTTGGAATACAAACAGTAGACTATGAGTTTTCGTTTCGTGCTGTTACAGCAGCTATCAATACCGTTGACTCATTCGTGTCCATGCCGCTACGACCTGGGAAGTCGTTTGGTGACATACTAACAAGACGCCGTACCTTACGTATTGCACAACGAAACCTAAGTAGAGTACATGCCAAGTACCGTACGGTACAGTACGTACTTGGTCGTACGAACTACAGTTCTGGAGAACCCCCGATCGCACATCTTTAATTTGCGCGATTCCCAGCAAGCAATGTTCGGGGGTAATCAAGAACCTAAATTTGGGGGAACACAACAGCATGAAAATCAATTAACTTCATCACTTCGTACGAAGAATAAAAGTTTCAAGTTACGAAGTAGAAGTACTGTGGTGTACTTCTACCGGTAAAGTACGTACCTGTACAGCAGTAAATTACTTCAAGTTAATCAACTCACGAAACCTGGACTTACTTCGTACGTATCATTAGTAGTGGTACTAACGGTACTAGTGGTAGTTGTAATTATCTGTGACAAGAAGAAGGCCAGTATATAATAGAAATACTTCTACTGTCAAAAACCTTAAGTAACTTGATGAACTTTTATTGAGGACCAGCAGAAACGGAAATAGTAGACGGTCATTGCAGGACGGGAGGATTAGAAAAATTTCAGAGCTGTTGAAGTCCAAAATGTCTTCAACGCGTTTAGCGCATCACATAAAAGTACGAACTGTTACAACTCCTCCAGGAATTTATCGTTGACGTTTGTTTGGGCCTCTTTGTGTCTGGTCGCTAAGCCGTTTCACACGACTATGTACACCATTCCCGTCGCCTGAGGGGCACAACTTCGTTGTAGTCGTGAAATACGAATGCATTCAATAAGAAGATGCGAGATCAAAAACATGACAAAACATTTTCCTGGTTTTTCTTCAAGCAAAGGGGATTTTGGATTTTTCCCACTTAAGCATCGTGGCACCATATCGGATAATACCTCTTGTCATACCAAAACCGAAGAGATGATTCATATTAATACCGTCGTGTAAATGGAAGTGAAGTTATTAATTTCGTCCATGTCACTTCAACCGAATTGATAAAGGCACAAAACCTGTATTCTTTTTTCGAAAACCACAAAACGCAACATAGAAAAGCACGTTACGAAGATGGAACAAATAAACAAGAAAAACCTCCGACGTCGATCCGTGGACTATGGAACGAAGACCAACAGATCAAAGCTTGCTGACGATTCCAAGCGTCTGCGTCTTTTTAACCAAAGTAACCCGAACAAAACACAACTGACGGGTGATTCTCGATTTGTTGTTGCCGCCAAGATCGCAACCCTGAATAACTCGGCCGTCGATCTATACATCAAGAGAGACTTTGAGAATGCCTCCGGATTCTTCGAGGAAGCCACGCTCCTTCGACTTATATCTGATTCCCTCTTTCCGCCAAAAGTCTTGTTTGATCTATCGAGACCACCAAACAACAAGATGACTTGGGACAAAGGTACGGATGCTGCGAAAACGTACACAATGGGCGACTCGGCCGTGCCTTTGACATCAAATTACATGTACCAGCGGACGGAATTCGATGAAGGCATCTCGTTGTATTGCGATACCAAGGTCATCCACGACGGAGATCATCATCTATCGGCGAAGGCGACGCTTCTATTCAATGCGGGACAGGCGCGAAGAGAACTCGGCGACCTTGTTGGCGCCGTTGCCTTCTACGGGGATGCACTTTCTGTGCTCCTACCAAACCTTGAAACGGACGAGGCCACGCATTTTTCACCCCACCGCATTGTTGTGCCCGTCCTTCACAACCTCGGACAAATCGCCTATCGAATGGGAGCTGCTTCGAAGGCAATCTGGTTGTATGAGATAGCACTGGTTCATTGCCGGGTGCTCAACGGCGAACGAAGCTTGTCCGTAGCTTCGACTCTCAATTGTTTGGGCGTAATGCATTACCACTCACCAGCAAATGACGACTCGGACCAGGCCATTCGATACTTTTTGAGGGCCCTGGATGTACTACACGAGGTCATGGGGTCGGCCTCAGAGTACGAAGCAACCATTCTGAACAATCTAGGAAGGGCATACGTACATTATAACGAGTTTGATCTCGCCTTCGAGAGTTACGATCAATCCCTTGCGATTCGAAAACATTACCTCGGGCCGGACCACGTCGACTACGCCGCAACCGCCTTTAATGCTGGTCAAAGCCTTCACCATAAGGGTGCGCTCTATTTCGACCGAGCCATGGAACTTTATGGAGATTTTCTTCGCGTTGCATTGGTTCGATTCTCGAAGAAACATAGGGATGTCGCTGTCGTTTTAAGTGGAATGGCACAAATCCATCAAGAACGGAAGGAGTATCCAAAAGCATTGAAACTATACGAGGAAGCCTTGGAGGTCGCAAAGGAAGCACTTGGCAATTTTCATTTGGAAGTGGCGGTCATTTGCAATCGGATTGGAAATTTTCACTTCGAACGAGGGCATTGCGACAAAGCCTTGGAAGCTTACAAAGAAGGCTTGCACATAGAATTGCGGCTTTTCGAAAGAACCCATCCCAATATCATCGTTACGATGAGTAACATCGGTGGAATTCTGCGCCAAAAGGGAAGCCTTGAATGTGCCATTCGTATTTACAAGGACGTAGTGAAACTGCAAACCATGCGGTATGGTAAGAATAGTGCCGAGGTAGCGACAACGCTCAGCGTCATTGGCATGATATACGATCAAAATGGAAACTCCGATAAGGCCCTTGTGACGCTTCAGAGAGCATTGGCAATAAGGCGAAGCGCCACTGGAGTCAATGACGTCGATATCTGTACCACGCTTACACTTATCGGAACAATTTTGTATCGAAAGTCGATGGTATCAACGGCTATAGAATTCTTTTCGGAATCACTCAGTATCCGCCGCATAAAACTTGGAAAGAACCATCGATCCATTGCTTACACATTATACAACATAGGGCTTTGCCACCAATCCCTGGGTAACCTGAACCAAGCAGTTGATTGCTACAAAGAGACACTAAGAATAGAAAAAATGGTCCTTGGAGAAGACCACAAGGATATTTCTATGACTTTATTGAAATTGGGGGAAGCGTGCAAGGCCAAAGGTGACTTGGATGAAGCACTTGATGTTTTAAATTATGCCCTTGCAATTGAACGCAGCACGAAAGGACAAGATAATCCTGCAGCTGTCGTAAGAATAATCAACGAAATAGGAACTATCCATCTCGAAAAAGGTGATTTTGTCCCCATGATGGAAGCTTTTTGCGAGGCATCAACATTATTTCAACAAGCAGGACTTACTGCCGAAAGCATTGCGATGCCTGGGGCCTTGTATCACATCGGAATCATTTTTCCAAGTGGTGCTCCTGCGGCATGAATGAATATAAAACATTAAAAACTCAAACTTACTAGTACATCAAATCTTTCAGGTCCATTGCAATGTCCTCAAGTGGATCTACACGCTCTTCATCATCCGAGGAATCACTGATGTGTGACTTATTGAAGTTGTCTTTTAGGTGCAATACCGACGAAACCGATTGAAAGGCTCGTTTATCGCTTTTCCTAAGGCCCAAAAGTGCATTGGATCCATCAGCTTCTGTATTTCGAAAAAATGCCAAACGAGATGAGCTACTACTCATGGCCACGGATGCTGTAGCTCTTGCTGTGCCTGCTTTTGCAAGATAAGATTTTCTCCCGAGAACATCAAGAAAAATAATTCTTTTGAACTCAATCCGATGAAGAACGCTCAACTGCTTTGTTTGCCGTTGGGTCTTTATTTCTTCTTGCGATGAACTCCGACTGGCATGCCAACCTCCATCATTATTCGACTTGTTTAATATTGCGTGACCATCGGTGGTCACTGGAATGGCTACATCGGGAGACTTCATAGCATCATAAGTTGTTAAGACAACATCATAACAACATGCCTTTTCTGATGTCGACGCTCGAATTCTCTCGGAAAGTGGTAAGGAAGAATGGTTGAGCACGGAGCAACCAGAACCTTCCCTCAGGGCATTTTCCCAATTCGCACTATCCTCTTTTGCCCGTAGTACTATGAGGGTGTTACCTTTTAAAAGTGAGCCAGATTGACTTCTTTKGTGTGTCGATTCCTCTGGCTTTTCTGCATAGTCGCTCAAAAGTAGCTTCAAATTCAGGTCGATGATTTGCTCCTCTGAAAGTGAAAAAAAGGCACCTGCAGCTGGTGTGCTACAAGTGCCGTCTTCGTAATCACGTTCAGCGTGTCTGGTCCACGAGTACATCTCTTTTAATGCGCGCCTTTTCCGACTCCCGTATCGAACGAGAGGATCTGGAAAATTCACCAACCTACGGCGATGTGTTGATCTATGCGTCTTTGATGTCACTGATTTTGATGAGATTAGTTCCGTGCGTTTCACTGCAATCTTTTCAAGATGAAACGTGGCACCCTTCTTCAGACCGACATTTACGGGAACCTCGCGGAAAGCTCGACACTTTTCTTTTTCACTTTGGTACGTGCTAGGTGGAGTATTAGTAAGTAACGAATTAACGGTGATTCTTGAATCTCGGCGAGACTCCTGAAACGTTGTCTCACTATGGTCATCACTATCTCTCCCCAAGCTGATTCGATCGCCGTAGTTTTCGCCATTGTCATTGTCATCGTCATTGCTATTGTTGTAGTCAGGACTGGGATACGTTAACCTTGGACTTATCGGAGATTGCGATGCGATGAACAAATCTTTCGGAGTTGACGATAAAGATGGAGAAATCGAAAGTCTTCCCAAATTCTCTGAAAGCTCGTGTTCGTTATCGTCGTGTCTTCGGCGTCGAAGGTCTGCCCCACGCTTTCCACTTGTCGTCGCTTCCCGCTTCTTGCTGCAATTTTCGGATATTTTGTTCCCTTCTGGGGTCAGACAAGGTGAATTGCGGTCATCATGACGGTACGACTCCTCAGCAGCTGCTTGTCGAACGATCTCCATTGAACAATCTGAAGCATTGTCACTGTCCTTGTTATTTGAGGGAACTGCGACATCATTGGCAACAATTGCAGAAGAAGGTTCGATATTATGATCCAAATCCATGTTCTGATCGCCGTGATTGTTCGTTTTTCCACTCAAGGTTACTGAATCTTCCATTGACAACAATAGCTCAGATTTCTCACAAATAGTTTGCGATTCATTCTGCTGTACAGCACTGTGTTCTTCGCCATTTTCTGCCACAAAAGATCGAGTCAAGTCTACAGCTGAATTATTATTATGCGGTTCAATTGGGCACGGTGAAAATGAAGGCGATATCGATTCATCCAGAATACGGCTATTTTCGGCTGGACTTCTGAAGCTCGTGTCACAGGCAAATGATGGGTCCGCAGTCCTACTCGACCCACCGTTATCCGATTTCGATACTTTGAGGCGATTCAATAATTTCATCACTTTTTGCTGTTCTTTCTCTTTMTCTTCAACAGTCATTTTTCTATAATCCCGCAACTTTTCGGGAAATTTCGACTCGAACTTCGATATCGCGGTTTTTACGTAAAGTTGATAATGTGCTAGATATTCATCTCGTCGAGGCCGGTTGCGTTCTTGATCCATTTTCCCCCTAGGTGTCTCGATGACTCCCTCTTTGTTTTGATCATACGAGTGACAGTTGATCGACTTCGTTGATAACATGCTTGTTGACAAGATGCTCTTCTCTTTAACAGGTGTATTGTCACACGAAAGAAGGCTCAGGCTCACATCACTATTCAACGTGTCACGTCTCGAACCTTTCCCTTGCCTTCTCAGGGACGAGAGAACAAATGATGACTCATCAAATGTGACACTTTTTCGACGTTTTGAGCGGACCACAGTATCCTTCGCTTTATTCAGATTATTGTTGCCACTGCTTTTATTGTGGCTTTGACTACTGTTGTATATCTCGTTCTGGTCAAAAACCGTGCTTTCATCTCCCCCGAAAATAGTTATAGATCCATCGTTCTCGTCAGTAGCCTCGCTCCCAACGATATCCACTAAAGTAGGCATTGTATTCTTCTAATTTGTTGGCAGTACGCTTTGGTGTTCCCGATCAGAAAAGCTATGGTCTTCCATCCTAATACGTGGGATCATGGTCCATTTTTCGAATTTTGAATTGTTCCGTTGAAGCAGGGATTATTTTGATGGGAACATGGCACGCCAGTCGGACATAACGGAAACTTAGTCGATTGAATCGAATTGAAAAATTGGCTAACTCCAATTGATTCATTCGACCCAAATTTGTTGCCAACAAACAATCGAGCTTTCACGCGTTGGACTAAACTACAGCAGCTGCACCGTACCGTACGATAAATTTTCTGCAACGACCATCAACAAGAATACTACGCATACACATCAAGGCAATAACAACAACAGTATCAACGATCGGTACTCGATATATCTTTGGTGTGCAGAATATTGCAACCTCCTTCTCAGTCGCATCAATAGAAATGGGTTTTTCAACATTATTCGTCGGCGGCGGTCTCGGATTTGCGGCTCAATGTACCAGTAACGCAATCCAGAAGATCCCTATTTCTCGTCGTACGTGATTTTGTTTTGTTTTGTTCTGTTTTGTTGGTAATCGGAGTGTTCATCTCAACTATGTTGTTCTGACGCTTCTTTCTCATCTTTTTTGTTTTATTTCGCTTCATAATTTCATTTCAAAAAACGATTCCGCCACGCGATTCTTCAGAACCATGGATGCACGTACTTTGTACATTCGGTGGTGCATGGGCAGCTACAAAGTGGGTTGATGCAAAGCATGCGCTGCTGGCTGATGTAAACGAATTGCGTGCCTACAAGGGACTTCCACCAATGGTTGGATCCAAAAACTATATGCCATTTGTACCGCCAGTCGAAGAGAGCAAAGAGTAATTTGAGTTGTTTCGCAAAACTTCCGCATGTAGGCTACCGAATTGTATTCTAAGAAAATTTGTGGTCGACGACACTAACAAATCCAATAGAAAATTTTTATGCTTTTCGCTTGAGTCGTCACTGCTATTGAGACGCCATTCGAATGAATAAAATTGAACATTATAATAATAAAATAATGTGTAGGAATATCGCCGCAGCCAACCCTTTTCGAAAACATTCGACTTTGTGCATATGATGTATTATCTCTCAATAATCATTCTCTGTTTTGGAATGGCTCCCAATTTATCGACACTTACCATAGAATAACAAGAGGTTTCTAGTGACGAATCCCCAGCTATTAGACTCGCCCAGAGGGGAGAGAGGCCAGTCCCCTAGTTAGAACACTTTAGCCCTCCTTCATGTGTTGTCTCTAACACTTTGAACCTTGTATTACCCTTTTTATCGTGCCAAAGTCTGTACAGGAAACACATTTAAATTTTGCAATTGTCTTCTTGAATGCTCTGTGCTTCTTTCAATACATTGAATCCGAATTATAGCATTTTTATTCTCCAAGAAGTGAGATGTATGTATGTGAATGTAGTTCCTCTTCCAAAAAATTAGCATGAATGCAATCATCTCTCTCTCTCTCTAACTAAATAGATAAATATCAGGATTCAGAGCAATGATTTCATACTATCTCAAAACTTGACGAACCTTGAAATGTTGCCAACCAAAATGTGATCGAAGGTTTGGTCATTTGGAACGAATGTCGAAACGAATATTCTCCGAAAACATTGAATTATCGTATCTCTAATTGAAGTAGCCTGATGTCCAGTTGTTCCTGTGACAATTTTCCCTGTGAGGACACTGTATCACTTTCAATATTTATACATTTGTTGACCTTCGTTAAAAAGACTAAAATTGAAATTAAGTGCCTAAATTGTACATAATAATTTTTGTCATAATTTTTTGCAGTACTCGTCTTCGAATAATCTAGACTGTGTGAATGATTCTGTAGAGACTGCCTTCCCTGTCAACGAATTCAAATTCCTTCGACTGCTCCTACTCAACATGCTCACACATGTTGTGATATACTGATCTTCCATTCCGTACTTTCCTCTGACATCGGACGGTGCCATTATGTTGCTATTAAGGACCAAATATGACTGAATCTGGCGACTGATTTACCGGTCCAATGGTGATTGTCGCGGTAGCACTCGTACGCTCTTCGTCGATTGACTACTGATTTCTTAATCTGTCTTATTGGAATTCGCCAATTTGGTAGTAGTCGTTGATGGTGGCCCTCGATTCTTAACCTTGTTAAATTCTCGCTCAAACATGGACAAGGAAAAGAGCAAGCCTCCACTCAGACATCCCAGAACCACCATGTGAATTCTCGCGACATCCGCCACAAAACCACAGATAGTCAGCACCAACAATATGCTGATTACGACGCGAACAAACGGGATCAGCATAACCCCACCACCAGGAGCCATGATTTCTTGGATTAGCGACATTTTGCGATAAAGGTCTTTGCTTGGCTTGGTTCCTGAATATGCAGATAATATACGTTCAGATGCTTCAAACTATTCAACAGTTATGGTTGTGGGAATGGATAGCTTTGCTCTGTGCTCGGTGTCGTACAGTCCGTATGTTACTCTGCACGTATGCTGTATCGATATGTTGTTGGATGGAAAACATGCTTTTCAAAATTGAAAAATTGGAGTTGAAATTGGAAATAACTTTTTCAAAGAAGCGCGAGCGTGCAGTTGCATAAAAATGCGCAGGCATGTACCGGTACCGGTACTCATTACTATCGGTGGCGTTCGTATCGTGCGACTTCCCTTTGTTCCAGCTCCATAGTACTTAAATAGTGTCACAGACTCCACCATACAGGGGGAATCCACTGGTAAAGTACGTACGAGCCGTGCACTGGGATATTGCTTCTGGAGCGATACTAATTGAAAGAAACGAGACGTAAGGAGGAAAACCAAGGGCACGATAAGTTAAATGAGACCATTGCACCAAACAAGGACAACTGGAAGTTTGAATCGGATGCCTCAGTAAGTGTTTCGACAAAAGGAACTATGAATGCTGTAAAGTCTAAAAAGACTATGGGGGAAAACGAACAACCAGAATCAAATGGAGCCACAACAATCAAAGAATGCAAGGATGAGAAAGATCCGACAATATCGGACACGAAGAGACGAAAGAAATTCAAATGCCTTGCTAGGGTCCTTCTTTTTCTACCATACATAGTAGGGCTATTTTGGACATGCCTCCATCCGATTGTTTCTGTCATAACTGGTGAAATGAAGTGTCGTGGCTGGTATCTCGACGAACATAGCATTGAAACAAGATTCATCGATAATCTAGAACCCCATATTCTTCCGCCCCACCTGGAAAATCTTGAGGTTTCGCCGGTGCGACAACCGAAATACAACGGGATCCATTCCCTATGTGATTTCTTTCCGATGGAGGGCGATCCTGGTTTCAATCCGAGCAATTTGATCTGTCATTCGCACGGAGATTATTTCGAGGTAGCCATGATCATGCCCCTCTCCAACGCCATCGATGCCACTGAAGAAGCCGTTGTGATGGTCATTCCGAGTCCCGAGGAAACGAACGAACCATCAGACACAGAGGAAGCAAAAACATCAATTGACTGGAGTTCAAGCATCTTTCACCAAGGAATGATCCAAACAATCAAGCACCTTGCAGACCCGGGGAATACACCATGGCTAGCCAAGGCAGTTCTGGTAGTCACGCCGACGTTGAGCAGTGATGGAACTGCCCAAAAATCTCTGGATGAGACTGTTTCGTCTTTCATAAGCGCTTATTTGGGTGAAGATAGTCCAAGGTTCGACTACCAGTCATCTCGACAACCACAAAATCATGAAAAAGTTCCGCCGATGCCCACAAAGCTTTCGGGATCGATTTTGAGGAACCTAATCGTCTTGCAGGCAATGCATAATGCCGAGGTAGACCGTACCGGTAGGCATATCTCGAAATCGGAGCTAGATCTAAGTATTTCGCCACAGGGTCGCCGAGGGGTGTTACCGAATGCGGATTTGTTTTTCTTGGTCTCGAGACTCATGGAAAGGACTATGTTCTTCCGACAATCCCCCTATCAAAAATATTTTACACATCCCTGTACACAAGAATCGAGAAATGCAGATTTCTGGATGACCCAATGGATTAAGAAGTTGCAGCACAGATACAGACGGAAAGCAGAGGCAGTCAAGGAATGGGCTATGGGGATGGTCGATACTTTTCTTTTTGCCAGAACGTTGGCGGTGGGTCCGTTCCCACCCCACGCCGCTGCTTTGGAGAGGGGGATCGATTCTTTGACCGTTCATGCGACCTTTGGGGGCATCTACCGCCGCGATCCCGTCCTGGAGTTCGTTCAGTATTCAGAATACATAGTGCGGTCGTTGGCTAATCTGCACGAAAGACTCCATCACTCGTTTACACTGTACTTGCTGCCTACACCCAAGACCTTTGTTTCGCACATTGAATATCTTCTGCCGAATCTTCTGGTGCTGCTACCTCTAGCTGTAAGAGTATTTGGAATTCTTCTACCAGCAATGAAAGGGGGCTTAGACTTGACGGCTGTGTTAGGGGTGCTGCTCATCTTATCGATTGTTGTGGTTGCAATGCTTCTGGCTGATGTCGCGCTCAACGCTATTGGTAACGAAGGCGCCATGACTGGAATTCTGGCAGTGCTGTATACAGGAGTTGCTTATTTCTGGATCCATAACATACTTTTCCGTGAACGTGACCAAGATCAATCCGACAACCATGAAATGCTAAACGAACAAGACGAAGGACTAAAGGACGCCAGCCCCAGCTCGACGCGAACTGTTCGGACGCTTCAATTTGTCGCGTGCGCTATGGCTGTTTACATTCTTGTCCCGATTGCTTTTGCAAATGCTTCTCTCGCCTATCTTCCATCGGTACTATGGTCTGCCATACTCGCCTTTCCGGACTATGCGTCCATGAAGAAAAGCGTCATCGGCCGAACTAGCTTCCAGAAGCATGTCGTTATTCCAGTGCTGGGTCTGCTGGTGTTTGCAACGGCACCACCTGTGCTTTTGGTCCCACGTCTTTTTCCCACATACACTGTGTTTGTGAAATTCGCCTACGTGCCGATTCATGTGCTCTTCTCTCTGTTGATGACAAGTGTCCTCGTTTCTCGATAACGATTTGTCTAGTAAAATAAGGTCAACAAATGGATCGATATTTCTCTGTCCCATTTTTACGTAAATTTGGTTACTAGTAGTAGTTTTTTTGTAGCTCGTGTCAGGGCCCTCCCTCCGGAACCCAAGCGCATTCTCAAATCGTGGGTTGTGCTTCTGATAAGACAACCAACATTTGTGGTGACAACTCATATGTTTTATAATAACCCATAAATTACCAAAATCTTGGTTCATGGGTTAAACCATTAATAAGGCACAGAAAAACAACAATGAATCTGTTTGGCCTTTATGACTCCCAAAAAATCTTGACTAGGAGCAGTACTTGTCCATACAAATCTGTTTCTCCTTAAAAAATAATGACGCTTAGGTATGCATAACATCCTTATTTCTCTCTTGCCCAAAATCACTCTTATGTTCTATGCTGAAGTTTTCTCCTCATTTGCTTACCCGCATGGTGAGGAGATGAGAGTTGTACGAGGGCCACTTTGGAAACAGGGTCAACAAGATGCTGTTGTCCTTGCTTCCATTACACCCCATGGTGGTCTTTGTGGTGGTTCTTGCAAAAATGGCCTCATTTGTTGGAATCCTGGAGATATCCCAACCTGTCTTGACATCTCTGGCCTCCTTCTACCCACAGGCACTGACCCAATCCATGGCAACCAAAGCAGCTAGTATTACTAGATCCCCCAAGATCCTCAAGCAGAACCTGATAGAGGTTCTCAGTGAGGGAAAATCCTGTGTTTGGTTGTTTTTGCCTGGGACAAGGAGGAATTTGGGGGTCAATCTTACTTGGCTTTTGGCCTTTATTAAGAGTTAGGGATACTAATATCACTATATTCTTGTTGTTGCTGTAGGAATTAAGAAGTGAGAATATGATTGGCTGGTTAGACAGTCAATCAAAATCATCAAAAATGGCACACTCTACCATTCTGTGAGAGAATTGGATTTCAAGGGGGGTATTGCTTTTCCCATATGAGGCAGCTTGTAATTGTTGTCGCCCTTAACACAAATAGAAGCTTCCATACAAGATTGAAGCAACAAAACATATTATTCAGGGTCTCATGTTTTGATTCTTGAAAGCTTCCTCCACCTTGCGATTAAATGATTGAAATCCTTTGATTGCTTCTTATACTGCAAACTTTGAATAGAATTAAAGAATCCAATGTCAAGTACATTCAAATCAGGACTATTTGGTACTAGTTGTTGTGTGGTCACACAAATGTTCCAGCCTGCATCTGCTGCAGCTTTAGCAATATCAGTTCTGATAGTTGGCTTGTGAGGCTTTGCATTATCCCCCTCTTGAATGATAATCTCACCAGGAGGGGGACCACTGTCAGCCCCCTTGGGCCACTTCTTGTAGATTGCAGGCAGCACTTTCTCCATCAACATTTGCTTGTACACTCCACCTTTAACATTCTGTGACTTTGTTACTACTAGGAGCGTTCCTTTGGGATCGTTCACAGAAGATCTTTTTGCTGGTTCTTTTACAGAGAAAGACCATATCCCAATTTTACTGTCAAACCATCCATTCCTCCATGAATTAAACCAAGGCTGTGCTGTTCTTGCACAAAGAAACATCACCTTTGTCATATGGTTCTTCAACGTGGAAGTTGACTTTGGTTCAGTTTCTTCTGACAGCAGATACGATGTTTCCTTTGTGTGCTTCAGACAAAACCACTTCTCATCTATATGCACCCAATTAAACCAGTTGTCAAATCTTCCATTCTCATCAATACTATGACTCAATATCCATTCAACTCTTTCAAGTTTACTTGCAGGTATTAGCAGAGGCTTTGTAGTTCCATTGTGCTTTTTGATTGCACCTCTTTTCACAAGCACATGCAGAGAGGATTTGGGAATCCCTGTTACCATCCCTTAAGAGTGGAGACAACAACGAGGGAGGCCCAAGGCAAGTCGATGGGCATGGCACTGGATCCCTTAAGAGTGAAGGCAATGGAGGCACGAGGCAAGTCAATGGATCCCTTAGAGTGGAGACAATGGAGGTGTGAGGTTAGTTGTTGGCACTTTCCCCTGATAGTGGTGGAGATAACAGAGGCGTGAGATGAGTCAATGGATCCCTTGTTAAGAGTGGGGACAACGGAGGTGCGATGCAAGTTGATGGATCGCTTAAGAGTGGAGACAATGGAGGCGTGAGGCAAGGTGTCAGCACTTCCTCCCATCAGCAGCCATTGGCAAGTTGCTGGGTCCCCTCTTAGTGGATGTGAGTCAGCCACTTTGTCACTTCTTGAGGTGCAAAGAAGAAGCCTTGGTCTTAGTCAGTTGAATAGAGTGAGAGAAAGAGCAAAGAAACATCATTCATGGACCAAGGAAGTAGTATACTTTGCAGTATTCTATTTTCCCAAAATAATTGTCCAGTATGGAATGTCCCTCTAGAATATGTAGAATAAGTACTACAAGGAGTATCATTACAAGAACTATTGTCATATGAATTTAAGAGTATTAGCACTACTACTACTATTGGTACCAATACAGCAATAACTACTAGTATTGGTACTATTGTTGAAGTCTGCTAGTACTGAACGTGCAAAGGCAATCTTTTCTTGTTGGTCACAAGAAGTGATTGATACTGGAAGCTCCTCTCCTTCATGACGAGCAAGGTTTGCTTTCTTGTTCTTGTTCCTGAGGTGTCAAATTCTTGTCAGTGTTGTCACCACCAAGCAACACCAAGTACTAACTCCTCCCTTTCACACTGTGGTGACAAAAAACCATTGTTTAGAGTCTCACATTTGGATTCTTCAAATGCAGCAATCACATTGGCAATCAATGTGCTGATGCTTCTTAGGGTATAATTTTTGTTTGTCGCGACCATAATTTGTGCGTGTTTTTAACACGCGCGGCAAAAA